AAATTGGTCAGGAGCTGACAGGTCAGTGAGGTCCTCTGAGACAAGGATGGGGCTGAACATGTAAACCTTTCCTTGAATGATAATGGAGTCCGGAGTTGGAGTTCAGAGCTTTAGTCCCTGAAGCCTCTCCATGACTTCTTCCCTGAGTATACATACCATTTTCTTCCCTGGCCGGTTCACTCGGGCCTTCTCACGTGGGGGCTGCTGGGGAAGAGCCATCGCAGCAGAGATATGGGGTAGGGTTTTCAGAAACCATTGCTAACACTTCTTGCTAGTATGTGGGGTTGCTGATAAGGCCTACCAGACTGGCCCTCATCCTTTTCAGGACAGGGCAGCACTAAGCCTGAGTACTCCAGAAGAGGTGGGCAGGAAAGCCTGTCCTGTCCAACTGAGTGTATTTGAACATGTTGTACTTTGAAGTATTGCAGTATAAAAGTATTAATTTAATAATGGAGATGGGTTAAGCAACCACCTAGGTTTGATGAATGGCGAGACCGGGCTTAACTGTAACTCCCTAGACTTTAGCTGTTATGGAATTGGGAAACTGCAGACCTCGAGGAGACCGGATTGGGGCTGATTTTCTGCCATTCTTTTGTGATATCTCATATGGAGTCTAAGTTCCCAGACGGACTATGGGTACAGATATAGAATATACAGAATACGTTTTCTACGGAGATGACGATGAATTAGACATTTCCCTTTATAGAGTTATTTATGGGTTTGTCTAGTGCCTGGCTCAGATGTTCCTGATACACGATCTCTATAGTTCTCCAGCTGCATACAGTTCTCTGTCTTACTTGTCTGTGTCTTTGCACATCATGTTCCCTGTACCAGGAACAACCACAGCCTCTTCCTGGAATGATCAGCTCTGGGAGGAGGCCATCTTCACCCACTCTGCCACCCAGATCCCCACTCTGTGCTCCCGAAACCACAGCTCCAGTTCCACCCCCACTGCAGTACGCAGCGTTTGTGGAATCTTCCCACACTCTCCCTGGCGCATAACGTTTCTTGAGGTCTATGATCTTTTACCTGGTTTTATCCTTTGCGTTTAGAATAGCGTTTGTGTGCTCTGAGGAACCAAGTTTGTTCAGAAGTGTGACTGAATAAGTGAGTAAATGAAGGTTTACATGGAAGGTTGGGAAATTGGTACCTCCCAATGGAGACCAATACGATTTAGGTCACATAGGTGGGGTGACGCATGCCTGTAATCTCAGCACTAGGAGTTCAAGAGGATGCTTTGCTCCATAGTAAGTTTAAGGCTAGCCTGTTCTACTTCAGAGCCAGTCTGGAAAAAAAAAAAAAAAAAAAAAGAAAATCGATAATTTTATGTCTCTGCAGAATTTCAATAATACAATGGTACTTCCAAAATTCAGTTAAGATGGCATGACCATTGGCATATAACAGTGTGTGTGTGTGTGTGTGTGTGTGTGTGTGTGTGTGTGTGTGTGTGTCACAGATTACACACTGTGGAGTAAGGTGAAGTCTGGGCTCCTGAAGAGCAGAGCTGGGTGGTGGAGAAACTGATTCATTTAGATCTAGATTTGTACAAAAGATTTGATCTGAGGAATTGGAAGTATTTTGCTCCACGTTATTTAACCATGGTATTTTTTTCACTTTGAAATTTAAGAATGAAGTAAGCATCTCTAAACATGTTGATTTAAGGCAACAAAAACATGAAGAACAAACCAGCCTGGACCCCTTCAAAGTGAAATTCCACTGAACCAGCCCTGCCTGTCACTCCAACCCCCCTGGATTTCTTTTATGCCCAATCTGTAAAATGCTAATGGCCCTTTTTATTGTTTACATTCTAAAAGCATTGTCAGGGTGCTTTAGAGAGTCTAGATGGTTATGGTGTCTTCTTGGAAGATAAGCATTATACATGAATGAGGTATTATTATTTAGTTTCGCCTTTTCAGGCCTATTAAATGAGAATTAGATGAAAACCCTGCTTTAAGCAACAGCCAGCAGGTAAATGATTATTGACCTGAGTACAATGAGATTAAGAAGAAATCTCCAGCTGTAACTGTAAGTCAGCCTGTCTGTGACCCGGTGGATTGCTGTGTGCTGTTCACCACTGTCCTCTGCACTCTGGTCAGGAGCTGAAGTCAGATAAGCCTTTGGGTTCAGGCCTGGAATGCGTTTCAGAGAACCCAGGACGACCTGGAAGGATTATGCTTTGGAAATAACGTTCCCACTAGTGAAGTCACACAGCTAGTTTTCTTGTGGACTTGGGGCCTAAATGAACCATCAAGCCTCTGTTTCCCCTTCAGGCACTTGGGAGAGGCTAGCTGATTCGTGTGGTAGTCTCTGGCCAGTCAGCATTGATTGGTGCCTGTGTGCATGGCTGCGCAGCTCCGGGCCACAGCTTTCCTGTGTTCTTGGAATTCAGGATCGTGGTAGCCGGAGAAGGAGTTATGGAAATCCTGCTTGTGGGGTGTAACTGTAAATTTTGCTTCTTATTATTGAAGGTAGGCTGGTGAGTAAAGGCACCAGCCATGCACACCTACTGGCCTGAGTTTAGTTCCTGGGACCCACACTAAGATGGAATTAGAAAACTGACCTCATATCATGAAAGTCTGAGAACACAAAAGGACCAGGGAAGATGCAGAGTAACTGGGCTGAGGGTGAAGAGCACATCTGTGCAGCACAGGTGTGTCTGCCTTGGTGTGTGTGTGTGTGTGTGTGTGTGTGTGTGTGTGTGTGTGTGTGTGTGTGTATGTGTGGGGGGGCGCATATCTATGCTTCTCTGGTCCCTCCTCTTGCAACGCTTCCTGCCCCTTCCCCTTGCCAAACCCTTTCTTGGGCCTGTCCCCTAGGACTTGGCTCACCTTCACTCCCCAGGACCAACCTTCAGTCGTGCTTGCCGTTGTGGTCATCTGTTTTCCAGCTGACCCATTTATTTTGGCTTCTGGATTTTGCGTTCAGAGAGGCTCCCTGCTTGCATAGCTGCTTGGCCAGCTGTGGGGCCAGCTGCCTGTTCCAGATTCCAAGGTGACCAAACTCCTCCCCTCCCTCTTGACTGCTTCCACGATGTTAGCCGTGACAATAGGGGAGAGGAAGTGAGCGTGAGGAGCAGATCTGTCCCAGCTGAGGTCATTCCTGTGACGGGCTGTCCAAGAACTCAGATGTGCCTTCATCCATCACAGTGGGCCTTGGTCCAGGAAGCCGGCGTGGACCTTTGAGACCTAGAAGGAGGCTATACAAGGAAGATTTGGTTTACTTTACACCTTTAGCCACATCCAGCATTAGTTGGTAGACTACTCTGACATGCCAGCTTTGTCTCCCCAAAGTCCTGCTGTGAGTCACTGTGCTAAGGTCCAGGAGGTAGAGATCCCTTTGAAATATTCTCCATCTCATGAAGGTAGCCTTCATGAGGGCCCCATCCCCCACTTTGGGGGAGGAAGTCTAAGGATATGGTATGTCTTCTTCCCCCTCCAAAGCAAATTTTCGAAATGGTTGGCTGTGTGTGTTGGTTCCGTTCACATCTCAGTTCACACGGAGCTGATTTTCGACAAACCGATCCTGAATTCCTGGTGCATCTGTGGGATCCTTGGTCTTTCATTTTTGATCTTTAAACAGTGTTTGCCTTTGTTGACCCAGCCTACTTGCTGAAATGTGTGTTACCCTCGACATCCCTCACCCTGATTCTGTGGATGTGCCTTCTTCCTGTTTTGGGGGGGAATCCTTTCTCTGCTCAGGCTTTCAGCTTTGGTATTCCTCGGGGGTCTTGACTGGACCTTTTTCTTTTTCCCAACACATCCTTCCAGACTGTCTCATTCACCCTCGTGAATCCACTTGTTCTGTGTTGTATTAGTTTTCTTCTCTGTTGCTGTGACAAAACACTGACAAAGAGCAACTTGGGGAGGGAAGGGTTTATTTCAGTTTATAAACCACATGCTTCCTCTGGCTGGCTCAGTTGCCTTTTGTGTGTAGTCCAGGCCCACCTGACTAGGGAAGGTGCCGCCCACAGTGGACTGGACCCTGCTACAGCAATTAGCACCAAGAAACTCACCTAAAGACATACCCAAGGGCCAATCTGAGGAAGGCAATTCCTCAGCTGAAGTTTCCTGTTCTGAAGTATGTCTAGGTTTGTGTCAAGTTGACAAATTTTAACCAGCAAAATTGTGTTGATGATTTCTAAACCTGTTTCATCCAGTTTCTAGATCTAGCCGCCTACCTTTGCTCTGTGAATATCCCTAGGCATCATAAACATGGCCAAGGCATGTGTCTCTGCCTCCCCTGCAACGTCTCTATCTTGTCTTCCATATTTTTGTTGTCTTAATGAATGACATCATAGTTCACCCTGTCTATATCCCAGTCTTAACAGCTGCCTCTACGAAATGCCAGCATATAATCCACCACACTCTTCAGTAGATTCCATGTTCCCTGGAATATGCGTTGTCAGCTTCTGTGGCACATGGGCCTTTGTGCTTTGCCAAGCTCGCCCCGGCGGATCTGGCTAATGCGCTCTGTCTTAGCTGTATTGACTATATCTATATCTATATCTATATCTATATCTATATCTATATCTATATCTATATCTATATCTATATCTATATGACTCCTCATAGAGAAAGGGGATTTTGAGGAATCAGAAAGACTTGCCGCCCACGGTGGAGCACCTTTGGGCCAAATGTTTGCTAAGAATTTGGAACAGAAGCCAGATGCCACAGAGAGCTGTGCATTAGACCTCTGGCTTCCACACACAGCCCTCTCCTCCATCCTCAGTCCTCAGTCCTCAGAGAGCTTTCCCAGCCTCTCCCGTGTACTTGTTAAACATTTAGTGTTACTTACCTGTCTTCCTTTTTAGAAAATGCCTGTCTCACTCTAGTAACTTTCTCTCTGCTATGACCAAATCCCTGACGGAAGGGAAAAGGGGTACAGCCCATCACGGCAGGGAAGGCAAGGCAGGAGGACTGTGAGGCAACCAGTCACATTATGTCCCCAGCCACCAGAGAGAGACGAAGTCTGGTGCTCAGAGGCCTCTCCTTTTTCTTCAGTTCAGGACTCCATCCCGTGGAATGGTGCCATCTGAATTCAGAGTACATCTTCCCTGTTCAGTTAACCTCTCTGGAAACTCCATCATAAGATGCACCCAGAGGTGTGTTTCCATGGTGATTCTAAATCCAGTCAAGGTGACCGAAGATTAACCACCACACAAACCCTCGAGAAGGTATGCTTCAGGGGGGTAGAGAGTTTGTTTTGGTTAGCACTACATGCTCAATACTTGAAATGGTATATGGAAGACACTCACCCAAAATTTGCTGATTTAATTACCTTTAAAGGTTCTTTTGTTTTTAAGATGCTGAAATGTGCACAGGTCTCTGGGGGGATCTAATACAGGCCTGGTATACGTCCCTGTCCCCCTCGACATTTTTTTTATTGATGACTAAGATGATAACGTTGACGGCATGCTGAGGAAATTGACGGATGACATTCAAGTAGAGGGTTAGTAACTGAGTGGGTACAGTCAGGATCCCCTCATCCCCAGTGCTGACGGATTGCTGTAGTGAATCATCTGGCACTGTGAAGTTAATGGGTACAAATATCAAGTCCTCAAAGATCCCTGAATCCAATTAAACAGGTACAGAGTGGGCGCGAGATGACTCGCAGGCGCGCACGTCAGGAAGATTTAGAGCCTCCTGTTGATTGTAGGTAGTGAGTCAACGCCGTGTGATGTCCGTTTCGAAAAAAATCAATCTCCTGTATTAATAGCAATAGAGCATTTGAGACTGGAGCTGACGCTCTAGTGCCCACCAGGGATCAGACCACATTTGCTCTGTTTTATGAATTCTGGGCTCAGACAGAGATACTGGTAGACAGAAGCTCATCCGAGAAGAAAACAAAAGAATAATAAAGGTTCTGGTAGACAGTGTTATTCAGAAACACAGAAAGGATCCAAGGCCATGTGTGAGCACATGTGTGGGTGTAGCAAACAGCATAGGTGGCCATCTTCTGAATTCTGAGCTTTGAGAGGGTGTCCTGTGGTGGAGATTAAGTTTCTCCTGGGTAATCTCTATGTCAGATTGAGTGCCAGTAAGTAGTTACAAGCATGTGCATTTCAGCACCTTAGGGATTGATCGGGACTTAGATTTGTGAAGTCATCAAGTGGACAGCTACAGGAAGGAATGAAGTCCTTGGATCTTTCTTCTTTATTATCAGACAAAAGGAAATGAACGCAGCCACATGGATGCATCTGAAACAGCATCTCAGTCTGTTTCCCAGGAAGGAAAACAAGAGCTTTGTGGGTAGCCCTCTGATGGCAAGAGGCAGATGTGATGATCCATTACCCCCGGCAAAGGCCTTGAGAATTCTTGCTCAGTTATTTTATTGTCATTTAAATAAGTGTTTGTTGAGTATCTATCCTGGGCCAGGTGCATCCAATGTGTTGAGGAGACAGAGGTGGCCTGGAGGATAAGCTGTTAGTAGTAGGGGGGTGGGGTGGTGTAGAGATGGACAGGTAAGTAGATCTTCATGACAGTGCTGTGACATTTAACACAGGAGAAGACTGAGGCCTGAACTTGAAATAACTTTCCTAAGTTGAACAAACTTTCAAGGTGGAAAACTGGGGCTCATGCCTGTGCAATGGACATTAGCAGACACACTTGCCTGCTGCCCTGAGTTGACTTCACCAGCACACACCACACACACACACACACACACACACACACACACACACACACACACACACACTGGAGCCCATGTGACTGGGCTCTGAGTCCAAGTTCCGTTTTTATTCACATGGCCTTGTTCCTTGGCTGATGTTGCATCCAAATGGGAAGAAATGGTCACAGAGGTGCAAATGGGATTCTGTAGATCTTGTATCTATGGTGACTGGGGACCACCATGGTGAAATCTAGAACGTGCTTTAACACAGCCACCGACATGGTGTAGACCTTCTGTGTTTTAAGTGTTCCGGACTTTCAAGAGCAATAGAGTCAGCCTCTTGCCTTGTGTGAGGGGCTGCAGTCTGGGCAGCAGGAGACAAGGCCTGCAACTGCTAGAAACTAGACAGCAGCCTTTTTCCCCTGAAGCCTTTTGAGATACGATTTAAATACTTTTCTAGAAAGAAGAGGATAAAATGTGAAGGTTTGAATAAAACTAGTTGCATTGAATACCTTGTAAATTAGCAGAGGAGGAATAGAGAACCTAATTGCTTAAATTGTCTAAGCCTTCTTACAATGAAAAAGAGTTCAGCCCAATATTCTTGTGCCTCCTAATTGAGTTGGGCTGGATCTGTGGCAGATCTGACTGAGAAAGAACGGCTATTAAATGAATGAAGTAGATGACCCCTTCCTCGATAATTACCGCTTATGCTAATGCAGGCTTGACCTATGTGATCAAAGCGATTGTGACTGTAAGCTACCCATCTCCTGTAATTTTTGGAGATTTGGTAATTTTGAAATGGGCTGCAGGCTGGGGTTTCTGCGGTCGGCGGCGGAGCTGCTAAAGGTCAGTGCATTCTTTCCTTCCGGTGGGTGGGACTTGGGCCTGCTTGTCTCCAGGGCTTCGGTTCCTGTTGTCAAGTGTGGGGACCTAGTGGCTTCAGATGGTTTCTTGGCCTTTGGTGGATGTCTGTCTTCTTGGCTTCCAGTCCCTGGAAACGTTTATTCGGCTGGCGAGAGAGTTTCGTCATGCTTTATTTATTTCGGTGGTTCCTATTTCTTTGTAATACCCTTCCATTTAAGTCTGCTTTCGAGGTGTCAACTAATCTGCTTTTATGTCTGCACAAATCCTTCTGTTAGAGCTCTCATGTAACCTTATAGAAGCACTTTAGCACAGTAGGTGCTACTTCGGATGCCATTGCAGTGTTAACAGCCAAGAACAGGGGTCTGTTTGGGAAATTAGGCTTAAATGTTTCATTGCATTTAGTATTTAAATAAATTATTTTTTATTACAACGGAGCAGTGTTCTTATAAACATATTTTTTTTTCATTTTTTTCACTCAGTCAGTAAAACTTGGAAAATTATTTTCTTGCATATTCCATTCTTTAAACCTGAAGGTAAAATGCTTTAAAGAGACTGCATTCCAAGCAAATGGCTTTTCATAAAGCCAAGAGCAAATGAATAGAGTGGGCTCTCCTGGCATTTTGGGATCCATGTCTAATTAGAGCTCCCAGTATTTCAAACCTATAATTTGCTAAAGTTGAGGTTTTTAATTCCAAATGTTGAGCCCACTGGGTCGGAACAAGTGACCCTTGCTGGAAAGACGTCAAAATTCAACTGTCTTGGATTGACTTCTAGCTTGTCACGAAATCAAAAATGTTGTCTATTCCCAGACTTAAAGCTGCATGGGCTCCTTTCATTTGATTAAGATCCAGGCAGAAGGGAAGCAGTTGTCTCCTAAGTGATGGTGATACTAGGGTCTGTCTGCAGAAGGAGGCTCCACCTCAGCTGACTCCACCTCCACACCAGTCAACACTGTGTACATCTTCTGAGGGGTAGAGGAGCCCCAGGTAGGGATCAGCCATACAACAGACTTGATATATTGTCCAGCTCAAGGCTGGGTCCTAGGCACTGAGGACCATGGCAGACATTGTCAGTTGCCATTATTCATAACTTGAAACTGATCATGTCAGACTTGGAATAACTAGATTATTATGTGACCCTGAACAAGCAATTTAATCTGGGTTTTTTGTTTGTTTGTTTGTTTGTTTTTATTGTTTGTGATGCTGGACATTGAACCCAGGGCCTTGTGCATGGTAAGCAAGCATCTCATTTCTGAACTGGATCTCCAGCCCTTTAGCCTATTTTCTAATTGTGAAAAAAAGATTTGATTTGATTTTTAGTTACATGTATATATACATGGGTCTGTGCCAGTTACTGCATTTGCTCAAGTTGGCCAGAAGAGGGAGGTGGATCTCCTAGAGCTGGAATTACAAGTGGTTGTGAGCCGCCTGATGTGGGTGCTGGGAACTGAACTCTGGTCATGTGCAAGAGCAGTACATGCTCTTAATGGCTGATCATAACTTTTTCTAAAGCAATGATTTCACAAGGTTATTGTGTTTATTATTAAATGGTTGGGATTATATTGGTCCAAGTATAGATGGGAGTTATGTGAGGAATAGAATAAGCCATGGAAACTCAGACAGGCAGGTGAGCCCACACTAGCGTTATCTGCCTCTAGATACTTGTTAACCAGAAAGTTTCACTCTCAGGTGCATGGCTACATCTGCCTCTGCCTTTTTTCCTCAAGTCTACATTCAGACAATATTCTTGTGACCATCTGTCAATAGAGTTCATAACATATTTCATAATGATTTATTTAGGAGAAAAAGATGAGCAAAAAGCAGAGGGAAAATTAGATGAATAAGATGTCTCTATTTCAAAATAATTTCAAAATAGCTGTCCAGTTATCAAAGTATAAAACATTTAGAAGATATAATTGCATATATAATTATTAAATATGCTTATTTTACAAGGCTATTTGGTTTTACGTTTTTTATTGGTCTTAGAAGACTGACTGTAATGGTCTCATCAAATGACTAGCACTCGAACATTATATTGATGACCAATACACTAAAAATGTCCGTTAACTACCTCTTTCATTACCTCTCCTGTCCTTGCCCATGTTTCTGAATGTGATTCAGTTTGCTAACTCCTTGCCCTCACTGGGTATCGGATGGATAAGAGGAAAGAGATGCATTCCCCCGAGGTCTGAAGGAAGGAGTCTCCCAAGTCGTCAGAAGCCAACAAGGTAGTAAGATGCAGGAAGTTTTTGCTAAGAAACCTTCCGACATCTGCAGGCTATCTGATTGAAATCTGAGGTGTGGGATTTCAGTACAGAGGTGACTTTGGAGGAGAAACTTGGTGCCAACTGGATCTGTTGGTTTTTTTGTGTGTTATGTAAGAAGAAGAAATGTTAACTGTTTACTCTCAGATTGCAAATCTCAGATGATCCCATTACAGCAAATGGCAAAGTCTCTAAACCCCAAACTTTACTTTAGGACTAAATTTGCATAAACTGTCTTCTGTACTCACTGAAATGAAATATGATTAAATGCTGCAGGATTCACTGTGCCCCATTATATTTAAAAAGTACAGGGTCACTGTAATCACTGCATCAGAAGTGAATTCTAGGCAAACTGTAAAAGCAATATTGTTAAATAAAAAAATCTATCTTTTAAAATACATTTTCATGATTGTCAGGAATATGCACAGAGCTGAGGGTAC